AAACATTAAATTATTTACAATCTACTAAATGTTAACAGCCTTCTCCGAGTTGTTTTAAAGAAGGAAATCAATTGACTGGGTGTTAGTGAGAGGCCTCCTCCGAGATTCCAGAGAAAATGACACTCGGTGGTGTCCGGGGGGTAGCTGCAGGATAACACATTACCGAGTGTAGCCACACATCTGAGGTTCTGCGTTAACACTTCCAGCCGAAGCATCTCACACTGCATAAAACAGTGTCTGCACAATGATAATTAATGAGCTTGTTTGCTGTAGTCTTTAACAGTTTAGGAAACACTCTAAAACTGCTGGGCTTTATGAGGGAGCGAATTATAGTTACAGCAACACCAGTCTGCACTTCTTCTTAGAGGATTCCTTCTATTTGTGATCACCTTAATGTAGACAGACAGATATATAGAGATATAGAGGAGGGCAGGGAAAGGAAGATAGATGTATAGAGAAGGATAGGGAAAGGTGAGGACACAGAAAGAAAGAAAGGAAGGAAGGAAGGGAACACAAGGAAGGATAAGGGGGAAGGGAACACAAGGAAGGAAGGAAGAAAGGTAAAAATGAAGGGAGAAAGGAAGGAAGAAGGAATTGCAAGTTAAGAAGGAATAAATGTATAAATGAAGGAAGGAAGGGAGAAGGGAACGCAAAGTAGGAAGGAGGAAAGGTAGGAATGAAGTGAGAAAGGAAAGAATGAAGGAAGGAATGAAGGAAGGAGAAAGGGAGGATGCAAGGAAGGAAGGGAGAAAGAAAAGAGGGAAGAAAGGAAGTATGGAAGGAAAGAAGAAGGGAGAAAAAAAGGGACGCAAGGTAGGAAGGAAGAAAGGTAGGAATAAAGAAAGGAAGAAAAAAGAAAGGCAGGAAGCAAAATAGAGAGAAAGGAGGAAGGAAGGGAAAAAGGAAGAGGGAGAAAAAGAAAAAAAGAAAGAGAAAAAACAGATAGATAGATAGAGTACTAAACTATTGCTTTATAATAAGAGAACAGAAAGTGCATAATTCCACCTAAACAGGAGAGATGAGATAGATAGATAGATAGATAGATAGATAGATAGATAGATAGATAGATAGATAGATAGATAGATATAGATAGATAGATAGAATTTACACCATAGAAAATAGCTTCTGGCATTAGTTCATCTTGGTCTGGAATCACAATTCCGGCGTATTTATTAGCTGTAACTTCCAGCTAAATGGATCTCTCTCCCCCCACTCTTTTCTTACAGTTCCAGCAGAATCTGATCTGATGAGAATACAATCTTTGGCCTCACTCTTGGGCGACAGAATATACAGAGAATTGTGTCCTCTTCCTGAATACATGAATACATTATGCTTGTCAGGTTATTCAGCTGTGACACTGGAATAGGACTGTCAGGGGTGACAACCGGCCGGCACAAACGTTTCATCTCCGCCATGGAGAGGAAGAAAAGTCTTGTGCCTCCAGCAGCCACGTCACCTCTATTCAGGTGTAATATGGAGGGAGGGTGGCTCTCTTTGATTCCTGTATCCCATAGACTAAGCTTCATTTTTACATTTATTCATGATACAGTCCTGAAAGTTTCTCTGGAGGGATACAACTTTAAAAACAGACAGGCAAAGGGCTATAGTAGAAACCTCAGCATCAAATATGGTTAGCAATGGGCAGCT